CCCTCTCGGGCCCGAGGCCCTGCGACGCCAATTGGCGGCTGAGGGTCCACGCTGGCATTTTCGACTCAGAAGGGCCCCACAGGGCTCGAAAGAACATCTTATGTGCTCCGAATAGCCACACAATAGCCACACTTCTCTCCAAAAGAGCCACACACCGGCTTTTTATTGTTCCATGTCGGCATTTGAGGGCCCCTTGCCGGCCTCTCAGCTGAGAGGGGGCCCTAGGGCCCATTGGCGACCTCTGAGGGCTACTTGCCGGCCTCTGAGGGCCCTTACCGGCCTATTAGGGACCAGCAGCTCTAAGGGTTCCACACACGCCTGTGATGATCCCCTAAACCACAACGGCCCCCACAACGGCGCCTGCGAGGGCCCTCACCGGCGGCTGTGAAAGCCCCAAAGCGGTGCCCAGCTGAGGGCCCCACACTGCCACCTCTGAGTTCAACCGACGAAGTTCCAAAGGCCCAAACCAGTGCTTCTTAAGGCCATATATCGGCGGCTCTGAGGGCTCAACGCCGGAGCCTCGGACGGCCTACGACGGGACCTTCGCATCGGACGGCCACTCACCGGTGACTTGAGTTTTGAGGGCCCCGCACCGACGACTCTTAGGGCCCCCACCGGCGTCTGAGAGTATACCTTGCTGGTCTCTGAGGACTCCACAGGGCTCCTGAAGACACCGCAGACCTCTTAAGGGCCCTTTGTCGGTCTCTGAGAGCCCCTGTCGGCTTATAAAGGGTTCGAGCCAGCAGCTTTAAGGGTCCCACACCCGACTGTGATGACCCCACACTGCAGTGTCTCTGAGAGCCCACAATGGCAACTGTGAGGACCCTCACCGGCGCCTCTGAGGGCCACACACTAGCACTTCAGAGGGCCCACAGCAGCACCTCCGGGGCCCCGCACCAATGCCTCTGAGGGCCCACACCAGTGCCTCCAAAGGCTTCATAACCGGCGGCCCTGAGGGCACTACACCGGTGATTTTTGGGGGCCTACCGAAGGCACAACACAATCCCTTAGTCTCGCTGAGTTTCCATCCCAATCCCATACCGGCTTCTATCCCTATTCAGTATTCCGGCTCTAGCAATCCCCCCCCCCCATGGGTCAGCGGCGCCGCGCCGGTGTCGGTGCCGGGGGCCAGCGCCATCGGGGCGGCAGTCAGCCATGCGCACTCAATGGTTAGCGCTTAGCGCCGGCGGCTAGCGCACGCCCGGCGTGTTATCGGCCGTGAGCCGCTCCAAAACGGCTGCGGTAACTGGTCGACATAGGCAGTAAGGAGATGAGGAGATGCAGGTGGATTGATGACCGGCAAGCTTTTGTACTTTACGAGGGCGAAGGGTCGAAGTCGGCTGCTAAGCCGTGAGCGGATTTTATCAGATGCCGGTTCACTATGACCTTTATCTTGGTCCTGGTCCGCTGACGCACTCTTGAAGAGCCGAATCACAGCAAAACTCCATCCAAGACTGTATCTATACGGCTTACGCTTTTCTGAAAACGTCTGCGTTTGGCCTCCTACGGGCCCGGCCGGCCGGCCCCGATTGGTGATCCACCAGTGACGTCACTGGTAGTGTTAAGCTGATTGGCGAATAATACATGGGGAGAACCGGGACGACATCCCCCTGGGTGTGGGGGGCCTTGGTGTGGGGGCGGAGCTGAGACTACAGCCAGCCAGCTCAACAGACGGCATAACCGACACCACACTGGTAACACGGGTGTGGTGTGTGACCACTTTTCTTCTCTTCCGCAATCGAAAAAAAAAACGAAAAGAAAATTACGAATGCCCTGGATAAAAATCAGCATAGCCCTGATTGTGATGGACTGCAAAACGAGGTGCAAGGAGCGAATGGAAAAAAAAATACAAGTGAAATCACCGCGGGTGGCAAAACACGCATCACTAAACATCGCATCGTAAGGTCGTACTCGTATCACCCCAAACGAACGGGAGAGGGGAGTCGCTGAGCGCGCATTAGCATAGGCACAGTCCGAATGAACAACAAAGACACTCGGGCGGAGTCGCGGCTACATACGTGCTCGTACAGTCGAGTCTTGATGGGCCGATCTCCACGGTCGACGGCGCGGCGGGAGCGTCGCACAGCGACCAGGAGCGGGCGGCCGTCCAGTGTCGGGCGGCCGCAGGGTCAGGCCGGCAGAGAAGGTAGAAATACTGGGGATCAGCCGCTTCTTCAGCAGGCTGCGGCTCCACAGTTTCCCCGACTGGAATCGCTCTTCGGCCAGCCGGCAGCCTCACGCAGGGGCACACCGGACGGTGAGCGCGGCAGTCTTCAGCAGGGACTAGGGAGTCAGTAGAATCAGAGTTGGAGTCGGCGGGGCCGCCGACAACGGCCCGCAGCTGGCGGCAGTCTGAGGCGGTCAAACCGACACTCGACAGGACAGGCGTCGAAGGCAGCAGCGACCGGCGTGGCGCGGCATGTCTCCGGCCGACAGCACCAGCAGAACCACGGCAGAGCGAGCCAGCAGACATATTCAGCTTGAAAAACAAACAACAGGCGCAGAACCGTATCTTCTGGCTTCTGTTGACGTCAAATCCGATGCTTGTCAATTCCGAGAATAAACAATACTCAGGTGACTCAGGCCACGGCGCGGACGCGCCAGCGCCGCCATCTTGATAACATAAACCGCCTCAAATGTGCAGTACGACAAGTGTCGCTGCGCCGCTTTTGGCAAAACAAACATCAAGGGGAGGCATAGGTTGAAACGCTGTCACCACGCCAGTTATCCCCGGTGCAGTGGCGGATCCAGGATTTTCACTGGGGAGGGGCTGCAGGTCATAATTGGGCGCCACGCCCCGGATGGGCGCCATAGTCGCATCGTATTGGCGCTGAAATATTGGCGCCCAGTGGCCCTGACAAGAGGCGCCCAGGATCAGTATGTACAGTGCCACCACACGATTGGAAATATCGGTGCGGAGCGTACTGAAACGACGTTATTCGACTGATTTTTGCATCCTAGTCCTAGTATGCGGCACTCCGATGAGTTGCGAATTGAAAATTGGCGCCACTGCGCCTTCTGCGCAGTGGCGCCAGTTTTCCTTGGGTGGGGGCTGCCAGCCCCCGCAGCCCCCCCCCCCTGGATCCGCCACTGCCCCGGTGTAGCGAGAGAGGTTCGTTAACAGCGACAGCGGATTTATTATAAAATGGCGGCAGCCGGCCACTTCGTCGGCCGGCTGCGGCGGCGACCGCGGGGCAAGAGAGCGAAGTTACATTTCCTCACACACATTACGACCGCTAGGTGGCGGACGCACTGACAGCGCGGAACCGAAGTCTAAATTACGGCCAACAGATGGCGGGGCACAACTGGGGTTTCCATTGGAGCCAACAGATGGCACGGCGAACGTCATCCCACACCAGTCGGCAGTCACACTGGTGTGGGGGGCCTTGGTGTGGGGGCGGAGCTGAGACTACAGCCAGCCAGCTCAACAGACGGCATAACCGACACCACACTGGTAACACGGGTGTGGTGGTGCAGGGTATATTGAGTGAAGATCCCACCAACCGCAGTTGTGGGACTATCATTTCTACATTTCCTCCACAGATGGCGCTAGCGATGAACGCCGTAAAGTAGGCTGTACCGCTGAGCACGTCGATGTCGCCCGCTTGCGGCAAGGAAGCAGCTATAACGTGGGGCCTCGTGCCGCTAAATGATGAGATAGACTGCAGCCTGTGATGTGACTGCTGGCTACTTAGTTCATCCAGCCTTCATTGCATTGTATGTGGTGTATGAACACGGCACGGTGCCCTGTGCCGTCGGCATCACTAGTCTCCCGGCAGTAGCATCCCACTCTTTCCGTTTTACTCATGACACGTGTGCTCTGTTTCTTCAGGGATTTTCTTCACTGGTATACGCCACAAATCCAGTACAAGAACCCCAACGTCCAGCTGGTGGCCATGAAGGACATGATGCCGTCTCCCTTCATCAGATTATTCCTCGGTGAGTGCTGAAGAGCGGTGGAATCGGAGAACAGGGTACTTTCGACTCACGAGACATCGGGGCATCGTCGACGCCAGTCCGCGTCGTGGACTTGTAGATCCGTGTGTCCGATCTGACTTAGATAGGACAGGATTGATTCTCCCAGCTCTCCGTAGGTATACACGTAAAAACAAACTTCGTTATGTTTGAATTGCTTTGACTAGGTGTTAAGGGTACCTGAATTTAACAGCAGCTGCCGAAAAGTACCGAAGAGGATGCTGTCACCAATTGATCAATCGTCAAAGACAAACAGTTGCTCGAAATGTGCTATGGTTTACTTTACAGGACATGTACTCTTATATATTGAAGCATAAAATGTTAATCCTGGTTTATCTTTATTCGCAGATGGTGATGAGGAGGTAATTGTCGACGCGGAAGGAAAAACAAAAGAAGACATCCTCTCTCATCTGACGAAGATTTTAGGAAAATCCCAGTAAGCATCGATAAAATGTCATTGTAACGCATACTTTTGTCATGCATGCTGATGATGTGTTACAGTAGCTTCATGTGTTTCATCGTATGTAATATATCGTTATTGTATTTATTGCATATTTCAAGTCACTGCTGGCGGCGAATCATCAAATCGAAAGTCTTCTCCCAACCTTGCGATGCTTTTCTTTTTGTCAGCGTATATCGTTTGTCCATCTCATAGCCTAGAGAAGTTCAAACGGAAGGCACAAACGGTTCTCATTTTCACAGGTAGTTAAAATGAGGACGTCATAAACTTTTCGAAGCTTTCAGCCTGTGATATACTTATGGCTTGAGTCCGCCTTTATGTTTGAGCTGATGAGAATTAACCTCAGTATGAATGAAGGTAAATCAGCCTTGCATTTGCGAGTGAGGCGAATACGAGCATAGTGTTACCCATTCTGATAAACTTTATATCTTTCACAGATCTGTGTTAGCAGCGGAGGAGAAGGAGGCGCAGATAGTTGAAAACAAATCGAACTTCGGCGTGGGCTGCGGCCGCTACTGCATTTGTGAGGTGCCCGGCCAGGTGCCCTGTCCCTCCGTCGTCCCGTTGCCAAAGGCGTGGCGGGGGAAATACAAAACGGCGACATGGACGACGACTGACTTGTGCCAGTGTTGGTGTGTGTCTCGTGTTATGTGTCGTCTAGTGTTAGCAATATATTATGGCGCTGTGAGCTGATTTTCGCCTTTTCTTGATAGGTGGCTCCCAACGGGCGCATGCGTGTAGTTAGGTCGTCTCCCGCTGACATCGGGTCATGCTGGTAGTAAAAAGGAACTGCAAAGTGTTTCGATCGTGATGTAACATTTCTGAGTTGCATATATGACTGGAAACCAAAGTTGATGAGCAGGGGCTCGTTAATTATCACAATAAACTGGCCCGGCCGGATTATGAGGCCTTGGGCATTAAAAATACTTCTTACATCGCATTTAGTGGGTGAGTTGGTGATCGTTATTATTCGTGATAAGCTCAGCTTAGATCTTATATGTTCCATAGGCTACTTATCAGTTCAAGATCATCATAAGCGCTTGCTATTTTGCTCGCATTTTTTGGTGTCTCGGATTTGGGTCCAAGAGGGGAACAGCTACCGGAGCTGGGTCAACAGAGGCCGGTTTTATTATGTTTATTAATCGGCACTCTACTGGGCTAGGCTAGGGCCTTGATACATGCCATTTTACAATGGGAAATTTCACATTGCCTGCCTAGAAATAAAACCCGTCCATTATTTGGGACTGCCAAGTGATAACGCCTGGCGGCCAAAAGCTTGCGGCCTTCCGCATCTCAGAGAGATTTATGGTGGGTGAAGGAAAATCGTATGATATGGTAGCTATTTCATGTATCAACTCCTGCGCAACAATTACGAAATATCTGTTCAAAGTATATACGCAAGATGCTAGCGAACTCACAAACCATCTTTTCAACTAATAGCTTTGTTCTGTTTTCTAGAATACATCATAGCGCAGAAAATGCATCGAGCCATGAACAATATCAGGTCGAAGAAGGCCGTTTAGTTTGGTAAGCATTAGCCGCCCCGTTTACATAGGGATTGTTGTAAGCTGACAGCTCCGCCCGTTATATAGCAAAAGATGCCAATGGTGCTTTACAATTTACAAAATTATCCCCTCTAAATACTCAAAGATCACTGCATCGAAATTATCGCAAAATAAATGGGCTAGAGGCTAGAGCCTTGTCAAAAATGTTATGTAAACGCTGCTGTTGTTTGTTGTTATGTTATGAACCTTCTATTCCCTTCTTTCAGTGATTTTCCTGATTGTCAGTTGATTACAATTACAAGAGGACAAAAACCAGAATCATTTCAACTCTACTGCTCAACATGGACCTTGATGGCATTTCTGATCTTGACAGTACTATTAACTACGAAGAGGTGGGTTTGATTGATCTGTATTCTGTAGGTACAGTCCACAGCAGAAGTGACGTGTGGTTTCAGTCATGGGTATGTTCTGCTTCTGAAGCCTACGAACGATCAGCCAGACTGCAACGAGACTTTAAATGTAGCTTACATGTATCTTCACCCTTGCAGCTACAACTTTATCTATTGACGTCTTCTTTCCAATCAGTCCGCATTTAAAAATCGCCTGTCGAAGCCATCCGTTGAGATTGGTAAAACCACACATTACTTTAGCGGTGGGCTGTACCTATTGAAATGACATATTTATTTATTTTCATTAAATGTTGCCAAGTTAGTGAGGAAGTTTATGACCATATGGCTTAGTCTTTTAATTAATTTTGAGTCGGGTGTGCTAAAGGTGACCATCACTTCTCATTACTAATCACCTTTGTTTCAGGTTGGAGCGCTTAGCCAGAGGCGGATCATTGCTTTTTTCAATGAATTTGTTGCTCAAACTGTCACATTTCTGAATAAGTTTTCTTCTCAATGTGAAGAGAAATTATTTACAGTTGACACAAGATTAGAAAAGCTGGAGACCATGTTGTCAATACTGGAAGCAAAGGTGGGTGACACAGCACTCCTGATATTCTTACATATAGCATAAGTATGTTGTAATGCCAATGAAGCATTTGCTACAGACATGTTACATTTCAGCACTTGCCAGTAATAGCCTAAATTAACAAGATTATATGTTATCATTGGTGTTTGTGTTTCCTAGGATCAGAAATGATCAATACACATTGCCTTTTATGTTAGACCAGTACCTATCATGCACTAATCACTAGCCTAACCAAACTGATGCCGCTTCAGCTGTCATCTGTGCCGGGGCTGACACCATCCAAGGGCCCAGCCGGCCCAGCTACCACCAATGGCGAGGCATCACAAAGCACCAAGCCATCAGATAACAGTAACACCTCTCCACCTGCACAATCTGGCAGCCAATCGGCTTCCACAGAGCTCACAAATGGCCAATCAGCATCATCCCAGCCAAACGGCGACCCAAAAGTACAGCCTCAGCCGGACGTCGACCAACCTGCGGCCGCCGACCAGCCGGGGACAACTCAGGTGCGTCTGCGTGACACCGAGCCTTACCGTCGCTACTTCCGCATGCTGGAGGTGGGCGTGCCGGAGCCGGCCGTGCGGATGAAGATGCAGCAGGAGGGAGTGGACCCGGGCGTCCTGCAGCGGGGCGACGAGCTGGTAACGGAGCCGGCGACGGCCGGCCGGAGGCGCGGCTCGCGCTCGGAGGAGTCGGACGCCCCCAGCTGGGAATCCGACTCCAGCTGATGTGGTGATCGGGCGGCGGGAGTGGCATGTGTGTGTGTTTTGGTCACTATGTGACTGATGCGCTGCTTAGCAGCCATGCTGATTATCTGCGGTCGAGAAGTATTCATGTATCACGTAATTATCGAGAAATATTCAAGCAATGTAATTATCCTTGAGTACATAATTACGCATGTTGCGCCTATATATCATCACAATATTTCCCTTTGTCAAATACTATCGCTGTGTCGAACTCGTAGTACCCGAGGTACTACGCCTGAGTACCCAGCTGAGCTGCTCTGTCATCTTCCCTGATTTTGTTCTCCCTCGGGAAAGCGTGAGACCTAGTGTAGAACTTGCGCAGGTTATGGACAAACCCGTGTACCGTTAGAAACCGTTACATCCCGTGACTCCTAGGGGCTGTGTATATTCCCCTCTCCCCATTCAGCTCTTGAGTCTGTTGGGTTGACATGAAACTGTGATAGGTGAAACAGATGTGGCATTCCAACTGTATGCGAATTACCCCGGCTTCTTTTCGGGTTGTTATCAAGCTTTGGAAGGAAAGGGTCGCTTTTGTACTGTTAGGCGTTGAAATACATTTACAAGTTCGAAGGCTTTGAGATGTGTAGTTATGACCGCTGCTGTATTGCTAAGTGCATGGTGTTCTTCGTCAATAAAAAGCCAATGCCGATATCGCTTGTGGTCTGTGGATTAGATGACATATGTACGATCGTACTGAGGATTGAGGGGTTTGGGCTAGCCCAATGCAACGCTCGGCTAACCAACCAATATCCACAGTGACATCGCGGGCATCAGACAACCTTTACTTTGAACCGAGCTGCGCCCTAATGAATCGCTGTGCCTCGCTGTGGCTACTGGCTACTGTCTTATGAATCACGAATGAGCCACGCCACCCTCAGATGTTGGAGCGGTCAAGGGACTAGTCGAACACGAGGAGCACGGGGGCCGCCTCTGGCGCAGTCGCTTACCCGTGGCGCCACCTGCAATCGGAACACACGCCCGTTCATCGCGCCATCTACCCTGAGCCGAGTACTCTTGCTCGCATTTCCCGGGCATTACCCCAGCTTTCTGTTAGTCTGTTTTGTTTGGCTAAGCTCTTTCGGTCAATTGTAACTACTGCAGAGCCGGGAGGATGACAGAAATTAGGGAGACATTGGTTTGGGCGGGCACCCAAGAGAGTCGCCAAGGACGAGGCCGGGGCTGAGCCCGTCCAGTTGGACAGGCCACCCAGAACCCCAAGCACCCATTGCACCCGGCTACGCGTGTGTGCTCCTATGGGAGTTGCCCACTCCATCCCGGATCAGTTATCAGGGGGTTGAGAAGTGGAGAAGGATTTGACTGTCCTGAGGATGGAAACGACGGAACGGTGATTATCCTAGCAATAGTAGTTTCTTTGGAACCTTGAACGATCTTTTATGTAATAACGTGGAAAATCACGAGCGACGAGCGTGAACGGCTGGACCTGTTCCGTTCAGTTTTGAGGAATTCAGCCATCTCTCAGGCGCCAACGCCCCTCAATTTCTCTGCCTCTGCCCCGCTTTAAATTTTGATGGCAACAATTTTACCGAACACACATTTTTGCCACGGACCCAACAGCAAAATTCAACTGAGACACGAGTCACTTTCATGGCGTACGACCCAAACTGGCAACCGCATGACTGCCATGATGAGGCTAGCTATAACCGGTTTTAGCCGGCTAATAACAGCTTTACTAAGCCCAAGATCATGTAAATAATCCACTTATATCGCATCGTCCGTTATTACTTCGACCAGGGTCGTAACACGATATCGCCTGATGACCATTCTCATTCATTCAATTGGCTGGGCGGCGACGAACGGGAGAGTGAACGAATACCGCAAGAATAATTACAGTAAGAGGAGTCCCCCCACCTCACCACTCAACCCGGTGACCCGTCCCGTAGAACTTCTCTCCCTCCCCTCCCCTTGGACCTGCTAGTCACGACGGCTCATCACGAATCATGAAGCTGAAACAGTTCGATGAGCCAACTCAGACCCCAGCCCACTAGCTATCCGCCCTATCACACGTCCCTGCTCAAGTATGACTTACAAAAGAACAGCCTGAAAAAAAAACAGACATCGAACCCATAAAGCCCTCAGCTACCCTCAGGTACCTATCAGGTACTCGAAGACCCTGGATTTAAACTTAAGGTGCACAAGAAACTTATTGGTGATAAAACTACATATAACAAATTACAATTTACGCACCACGTTTATGAACTTGCATGAAACGTAAGGACGGGCAGCTCTGCGCAGGTGACTCAAGTTGTTTTCGACCAACTGCCATATTTTAAAGGAGTAGTAAATAAAATCGTATAGTTACTTTAGTCGGTGACGAGCCCTGATGCCGCACCTTCCACGCCCCCACCAACCAGTCTTACCGTAGACACCCCATGTCCCCTCCAAATTCGGCAGATCTTCGAGCGAGATTTTATTGACAAGATAATGTGGGCATTTCTTTCGCGGCTTAGAACTGGATCATCACTCCCTTCCTTCTCTTGTCTCCTCCCAGCTCGAAGTGCTTGCACCGCTTGATGGGAACCTGGCGCTTATGCTTGCAGGCGGTGCATTCCATACGCAGCACGATCTTCTTGGTAGTCTTGGCCTGAAGAGAGAATAACGCGACCGGTCAGAGGGAGTGTGTAGGTGGGAATTGGAGAGGGAGGGGGTGGAGCTGGGACAGAGAAAACAACATCGTAGCTGAAAGTCGCACGGTGGACAGCAAAACACACAAAGGGAGCTGCGTTAAACATCTACCGACACAGTCCCTCCCGCTCAGCAGCTCCATCCAGCCTACATCGCGACCACCGCCAATAACGTCCCTGGCCGCAGGTCACAACCGGTGACATCGAATACCAAAGGGCCCGCCGAGGGCGCTAACCAAGTCTAAAGGAGGCAATGCCCCCCTCGCCGCCCCCCCCCCCAAATATACATCAGACTCGATATCAAATTCTATGTGACATTTCGGGCTATATTATTTAGTATTCAACTCGAATGGGTGTCAATGTCAATTTCGAAGATTGATTGCGTGAATAGTTTTTAACACATAGTCCACTGCTCGCTATCGATAAGCTAATTGATGGGCTAGAAGGAAATCTGATGGCCGGTAAGCCAGCACTCGAGTTGAGGGAAATGAGCGGAAAGCCTTCCCGGCTGCACAGGCTGGAGCGTTACAATCTCCTAACTGAAAGCAAGAAAATAAAGTTGCAGAGGAAGCACGATATTGGAAAAGCATGCATAAATTCCTTCAATAAACAAAGAGACGTTTTTAGAAGTGCTATATAGGGGGCGCATCGAAAGTGTGGTCACAATTAGAGCCTAGAGGTAGCAAAATGTGGACCCGAGGACCCGATCCCAAGAACCAGTCTGAAGTCTGAACCCATATGGGTCCAGCCAGACCGGTTCCTGGAAATTTTCTGACGCTGACGGGTGCAGCCGGTACCTACCATAAACCATACATCTTTATTGCACACTACACAGTTGCAAAATATGAAGTGAATGGGAAGAAAACATTTGTTCATGTATGTTTCTTTGCACACTGTAGCTCGTAATTATTCGAGGCTGTTTTACATGATGCAACTAATGATATCTACAAATATAGTGTATATTCAATATTCATTGACTTTTGGGGAAAGGGTCGGTCGACTGGTTCCGATTCCAACTTCTTCAGCGCTTCTTCGAGCGGATCTGACTGGTACCAGAAATGTCCAGTAAGGTCCGGTTCAAGTCTGATTCCCCAAAACGTTCACCTTTTGCGACCTCTAGTCACAATGCAGCGGTCCTAGAGGATGTTTAGAAGTTAGAACCAGAGAAACACCGATAGCATTACATCCAGATTCTCCCAGGGTGAGGCGTTGCAAAATCAGACAGTTGGAATTAATTATCGTTAGAATACTCAATGGATGAATCATTTCGCGAAGGCCAAAGTTCATAGCTTCCTTCCAACATTTTTTTTTTCAATACTGTTTTCAGACCTAACCATTGACTATCATATTGATGAGCTCAACGTAAAGTAATGGCTCAGCCAATGTCCGTCACCTTGGTGGACCACTGACCAGCGCGGTATTGAGGACCCGCTTTGTGCGGTTTCGCGTTATCATTTGCTCCTGATTATTTGGTCGACAGTCATAATAGCAGTAGTCGCGAAACGGGTCAGATGAAATCGGTAAACAGGGAGGGCTATGTCCGACAATGTGGATGTGGTCGACATTCTATTATGGGTTATGTGATAGTGCTAATTGATAGCATTCTTATCAATCTCGTGGCTCAGCTGGTAGAGCATAACAATCAGACTGCGAAGTTGGATTTTTGTTGATTTTTAGAAATTGGAGTAAAAAAAACAACTCTACTCTGGCTCAGACTCCAGCAGCAGCTTTGAACATTTTTCTTCGAGTCCACATCATGATGTTAGGTTCATGATGTTGGAGATTTATTTACCGTTCCTGGAAGAATTCCTTGGAACGTTATAAGCCTTACACTGCAAACATACTTTTCCGTTTATGTCAAAAGTATGGCAAAAAATTTCTACAAGAACTGTCTGCGAAAGGTCAAAGAGAGAGTTTTGGGAAGGTTAACAAGAGTCCTATTATCAAGCGAATAGGTGTAGGGTATAACTTGATCGCGCAATTCTAGTTCTATTGCAGAATTTGGAGTCCAAAGTTTAACACGCGCAAATAGCCGCGCAAGGCCGGTCCCCTCACTGACTTCGCCTGGCTATGGCCTGCCACCGGCATCAACCGCAACCATACGAGTACCTGTCAGGAGGCCCATAAACGTCAATCGCCCATCGCGCTTCGAACCAAGACTGTTGTAACCGGGAATCGCCACGCGGAGACCAACACTCTATCGACTCAGCTACGGGACCGGATGTTGACTCAGTTCCTAATATTTTGGCGACTCCGACACCCCCGAGAACTGACAACTCAGATTTCAACTTCGACTCCACAGTTCTGGAGCTAATGGCGATAGGATGTGACGCGGGTCAGAATCTCTCCAGCGGTCCGCACATGAGACTTCCATGTATGATTGGTAAGGGCAACCACACGCGCTGGAAAGTTGGAGCGGGTTGAGTGGATCCGAGCAGATGGACACATTTAGCTGTAACTTCTGACTGAAGTATTACCAACCATATTTAATAATAATAATTTGGGGTTGCGGGCTAGGACAAACAAGAGGTAATCAATGCACAATCAGACCTCATGAATCTTCTGTCGGCTATACTAATAAAATGCCAAGTGTCTGTGGCACGCATAATGCAGTTCTACTGCACATACCTTCTTCCTGAAGATGGGCTTGGTCTGGCCACCGAATCCGGCCTGCTTCTTGTCGTAACGACGACGACCCTGGGAGGCGGGCCTCTCCTTAGACTTTTTGTACTGGGCTACTTTGAAGACCTTGTGAGCTTTACAGCTCCTGCAGAAAGTCCGCTTGGACTTCGGAACGTTCACCTGAAACAACAAATATGGTCACTGAAGATATTCCAGATAGTTCAAATGGGTAAATGCACAATACATTTATACTAAGCATCAAACTATTCCTCTCACACGCCAGCTTGACCGGGCCAAATCTAGCAGCTTCACTGGGGATAGCCTGCGTTAGATAAGGGCAACCATAAACAGTTAAGAAGTGAGATGGTGCAGCATACTGCATATCCAAGAACGTGGCACCAAATATTTTTTTCAAAATTAGCTCGAATGTCTGAACGGACCGATTGACAGAGCCGGAGCCCAGGCTACGCTGAGCTTGTTGCGTAAGCCCAGCCCCCGAGCCCTTCCGTCCGATCGCGCAACTTCAGGCAACTGGAGAATTTAGAAGCCAATGTTTATGGTGCCCTTCAAAGCTGGACACGGCCTGTTCCACTCAACGGACTTCAACTGGCAGCGGCTGCTCCCACCAACCGCGGACTATCCCCGTCAGGAGTCTCAAATATCGAGCGCCGGAGCGACTCGAACCCGGGCTATCACTACCGGGAGTCAAAAACTCTACCAACTGAGCTACGGGACAGGCTTAACCAAATTATCTACAAAATTATCACCAAATTATCTGCCTTCCTCTCATGTGAATACTGTGAGGTTTTGCAGAGTGACTACTGACTAGTATCCTGCTTTACTGTAAAAATATTATAATTTTCAGGTGATGTCTCAGTACTTCTGTCTAAATCATTATCTATTGTAATGTTTTTATTTTGTGAATTGCATAGTTATTAATTAGGGAGTGCAAAGCAGCAGAATGCTGAAAAAGTACACTAAGCAGAAATGCCAAAACATAACCAAACCTTATCTAACATAACCAAACTTTCTGACTCAGCAGACTGTTGAGTGTAACTTAGAAATATATTGTGTAAAAATATTAGAAGCGTCAATGTGATGCGTCACTTTACAGGCTTAGCCCAGGCTACACTATGTATGATCCTCCAGGAAATTACTTGTATGATTAATCTTTTGTCAGGTTTTGCAAGAAATCAGGACGCAGGCCAAGTTCAGCTGTTAGGAAACACACTGGGTTGGCTACACTGGTCTACACTGTGGGGCACACACATTCAGTCAAGGAAATCATGGATGTTGAGTCCAGGAAACATTAGACAGGCAGAATTGTCAGGGTTGGCCATACTGATATGAAGTTCAAACATTTAAACTTTTTTGCAGAATCTGCAAGCTTGCGCGAGATGAGAGCTGTACACCCACTTGGCGGTGTATCATATAAACACAAGTGTCATTATCATTATTCAACATCTATCTTATTTTAAATGTTCTGTTATAGCAAAAAATTATGTTTAATAGCAAAGCTCTTGCTAGTAGTCATGATGGTATCAGCATATCTTTAATTGTTCATGGAAATTCTGGAAAACTGCAGAAACTGCGATAAGGAAATCCGGCAAGCACAGATCTGCAGAACAAGCACACACATTTCTGGACTGTCACTCATTATGTCGCTTGGGCTTTAGGAAATGTTTTATCAATTACTGCTTCTTATTGTGAGAATGCCTGCTACAGCAACTCTATATACTCTACGGCGCTTTACAATCCCAACACTCTGACTATTTAATTACGAGGCGGGATGGGCGTGTCTCGGTGGGGTGGCGTCGGCAACGGGGCTCTCTGGACAACCTCTAATGCGCGACGCGTTCGGCTTGGTGGCGGCGACCGGCGATTTAGTTTGTTTGAATCCATTTTAAGTTCTTGTATATGTGTGTATGTTTATTTGCTTGTATGTTCTTTAACAGAGCTGGTGCCTCGAATTAAGCACTTTCGAGTGCTTTTGCACCAGTTCTTACTTATCTTGATTTTGTGTATTCTTTTGTTTCTTAATAAACGTGATGATGATGATGATGATATGCATTAAATGCTCACATAGGCTGACACCTATGGAGATACATTACTAGATGATGAACTCAGGGAGGTAGTTACTTTGATGGAAGCTTCTCACCATACCTATGTGACCAAACATAGGTATCTGTCCTGTAGATCAATTGGTAGAGCATCGGACCCCCCAGGAGTGACAGCCCTGGTTCTAGACGCTCCAGCGCTCGATATTTGAGACTCCTGACGGGGATGGTCTGTAGTTGGTGGGAGCAGCCGCAGCCAGTTGAAGTCAGTTGAGTCAGACAGCCTTTGAAGGGCATGTTTAACTTTGGCATCTAAATTCTCCCGTTACCCGGAATTGCACAATCAAACGGTAGGGTTCAGGGTCTATGCAACAAGCTTTGCAAAGCGTGGGCTCCAGCTCTGTCAATCCGTCCATTCAAACATTCAAGCTCAATTTATAAAAAACAATGAAAAATTTCATCAAAGAAACCTTGCGTGCACCCATGAAAGAAAATCCTGACACAATGTGGGCACATGCTATTATAGTACAATAATTATGTTCATGGATGATGCATTAAACAAATTAATAACAATAGAATCTTCCGTGCCTAGTTAAAACCTAATCAAATTAGAATTTAAGTAAAGCTGCAACCTTTTTTAAACAGCTTTATGCTTAATAAAAACAAAGTGAGTTATCGAACTCGTAAATAACCTTCTTTGTGTTATGAGGTTATCGGTGGAGCCAACAAATAACTAAATGTACTTACTTTTATTATAATAAAAGTAAGTTACTTTTATTATATTTTATTATAATAAAAGTAAGTACATTTAGTTATTTGTTCGCTCCACCGATAACCTCATAACACAAATATGTCCCTAAATAATCAAATAACCTTCTCTCATTCCAAAATAAGGCATATATACAACTGTAAACGAAAAATAACGAAATACATTACCATCTTTGCAGCTTGCTTTTGTCAAAGGAAGTTTACAAACTATCGACGTTATAAGCTACAAAAAGTATTGTATCGATAAATATAAACAGTTTTGCCTATTTCTGATTTTTTGATAAAAATTTTCAATGCAATTGTTCAAAATTATTTTCAAAATAATAATTAGAGTAAAGTAGTAAATTACAAGCATAAAAACAGAAAATATTTTTATTGATATTGAAGTTAAATGGCAGTTATGGACAAAAAATATCAGATTAAAATTTATAAAATGTTTTTGAATGTAAAATTTTGATCTGAGACTTCAAATATTGAATTTCTATACCAACTTTTCACAAAGTTTTGTACATCGATAGAATATATTTGACCGGAAGTTGGCGTCGTCTTATGAACTATTCTACTCCTAAACCCAAAACCAAACCCTATTTTACTCCAAAAACGAAGCATGTAAGAAACGTCAACTTTTTCATCAAAGAGAGGTTTATTCGTAACAAAAAGGCTGTTGCCTCAATGAAATTTGAAATTATGGTCATCAGTTCATAGCATTTGAAATTTTTCAGCACAATGAAGTACTACAGACAAATTATCAGATACCGATTGCAGCGCCCTCATTCGGAGTTGTGGAAAGGTCGTGGGTGCCGGTCGGTTGTACGCGCTCGCGTAAAAACCACAAATTTCTCAAAATGAGCGAGACGGAGACCAAGAAGGACCTCGGAAATGGCAAGGCTGATGCCGAAGACGTGAAGGGAACGAAACGGGCTGCTGAGGTAAGTTGTACTTTTGATATTATTTGTGTTCGAAGGTTCTGGTGGGAAGCCGGCGTCCGTCACGTGCAAGCGGTGCCTGTATTCGTGCTCCCAGAATATTTTGTAAGGCTTTTGATATTTATATTTACAATAAAATTTCCATGTTTGATCCTGACGTGGATGCTGGCCATCACTGCATTTCAATTTGCTTCCGCTGAATAAATACCGCGACCGGTACGGCAGGGGTGTGGGGGCTGGGGCCGGGGGGAGGGGTGTTAGCCTCTACCGGGGAGGATATGCCGCTCAAACTGTTCGCCAGTTGCTTGGTTTTTGCTTGTTTTCTTATACATCTGCCGGTTTGATATATGCGGTGTTGTGTGTCACACAGGATCATCCTGGGAACATAGCCTATCTCGCGCCATTGCTATTAGTTTGCGTATTGGCCGCTAGATGTCAGGCCGGTGACGACCGGTACGGCGGGGAGACCTTTTACCCAGCTTTTACCTACATGTCGTAGCCGATAGGCTCTTGTTCTCTGGTTGCAATTACCTAACGATTATTGGAGCTCTTACTTTTGAAACAGCAAAGAACCATGCAATTCCTCAGTAAGGTAGCACTTCCCACGGATAAACACCCCTCGTTGATACAACTCGTTTTTATGCATGTTGATTATTTCTGTTTCTAACAAATCCTAGTCGTACCGGAAAATAAGGCTTCTTATATTTCTACATTTTCGTGTTTTGTTGTACCGTGCTTTTGCGTGTATTACCCACGACAATTTTCAAGCGTGCAGTTCTTAATCTGTGCAATATTGACCTTGCAGGATGACATTGAGGCCAAGAAGTTGAAGACCGTCAACGGCGAGGAAGAGGAGGACATCGGCGAGGAGGAGGAGAACATCGATGGCGAGGAGGACGACATCGAGGGAGAGGAAGACGATATTGAGGGCGAGGAGGATGAAGGTCAGTAACACATTTTGTGTTCGGTCTAAACAATGAATTTCTATTTGCGGTGCATATTGTGTGCTTTTCATTTCCATGCGTTTTGAATCATTCGTTCTAACTGCTGTCTGTGTTTCCGCAGAGGACGTAGAAGGCGAAGAGGGTGAGGAGGAGGACGGCGAGGAAGAAGAGGGCGGTGAGGAGGAGGAGGACGATGCATAATTTGTGTAGCTTCATTACATCTGGACTAAAATGGCGGGGTGCCGCTGACAGGTGGCCGCTGTCGGGGCATGTCGATGGCCGGGCGCATGTTCCGGCGGCGGCGGCGGCCTCCCGGCCCGGCCGGCACCGAGCCGCCGACACCGGCAGACATCAATTTTATCCATCAGCCAGCCACAGACGAGATCACAAAGCGTCTCACCCCTCGTCTGAGTCCTCATCTGTGTCATGTAACTTATTCCTTCTCGATGTGTACAAGTAGAAAGGCGTGTTGTGTTAGAGCAGAGCGCCCGGTGCCGCGGGGGAGTGCGCCCGGGCCCGGGGAGGGAGGGTAACATGCATGCAGGTGGGTGGGCGGGCAATTAGACATCACCGCACTCCTCCGCGCGCCCGGGGGTGGGTCGTGTTGGTGTATGGGTGTCGCCACCCACTGGCATAATGCTAAGGAACGAAATTCCTTTCCCCCGACTCGGTCAATAAAACAACACTGCGAATCTTCGCTGCCCACATCGGTCGCTGAATATTGCAACTTGTTGCTCCAAGTAGTGTAACTCATCATTTTACATACACTTCAGAATCACAACGACCACTGTTTTATTTCGGTTTTACGGAGGGAGGGATGACTGCTGGTGTGCTGGTACTGTGTTCTCAACGGACGTCGACGGCCGACCGGGAGCTCCCGGATCTCAAGGTGGGTTGTCTGCACGCCTATGGACGTGTGCGAGAGCGCCTGCCGTTATTACAGTACCGTTTTCTAATAAAGACAGAAATGAGACGTGTTTGTGTTTTGGCGGCCGTGCCGGGCGGCGTCCTCGGACCCGCCGGCAGGCCGGCGCGGTGGGGGCCGCCCGGGGGGAGGGGAGGGGGAGCCGCCGGCCGGCCGGCGCCGCGGTGGGCGGCCTAGTTCAGGGCTCCGCCAACAGATGGCTGGCAGGCGCCCTCATGACCGTGGCGCCCTCGACGGGCGGCTCCAAAGATAGCCGCGGCCGGCCGGCCGGTGTTTACTCGGCTCGCCGTTCGGGGAGGGGGACTGGCCGCGGCGGCTGCCGACGCCAGGGACGGGCGCCCGCCGCTCCGCCACCGGCGGGCTTCCCCCAGCGAAATGCGATGGTCTATGTGCGCTGACGGGTACGGTGGGGATATGCGTGATGAGGGGAGGGGATAACTGTCCCGGTCGGGTGATCGCGGAAGGATTTGGCGTCTGCGGTGGCCCCCGGACACCCTTGGTCAGCCCTCCCGCGTCGGTCCTGGGGAGGGATTAGCACCATGGGGTGGCCCCTTCCCGCTTTCCCTAGGGACTTGCGACCTTTGCAAATGTCAGGCGCGTGCGTGGGCAGGTGTGACACTGTGACCGGCAGGCCGTGGCTGCCGCTGGTCGTCTACCCTACCCTGACCTTGGGCGATCTCGGGAGTGCCAGTCACGGCGTACGGCGCTCAGCCACTAATTTGCAAGAAGAGATCAGCCATGGTACTGAATGGTCGCCGAGAAACTGCTTGCATCAATTTAGATGATGCTTAGAAGTTAAAACGGGCTTCGCAGTTCGGAATTCGGATGCTGCCTTTCATTGATTATGGTCCGCTACTATCATTCATACCCAAGGTCATAAGTCGTTCTTTCCAATAACTACTTTGTTTTCGTTTCTTACGGTATGCAAATGTGCTTTACAACTTGCAATGTAAGAAAATTTACTCGGTCGATGCCGTCTTCAGTGCACAGGGCAGTGTGCCGTGATGCAGGCCTCGCTCGGGTTGCTTCAGATTGCCGAAAACTGCAGCGGGTAAAGGTCATGACCTACAGTATTTCTGCCAGCTTTGACGTTATCGCCCCCACCGAGTGAATGGGATGGCTCATGAACAAGTGACTTGGAAGGTTTTATCGACTTCCAATGCTCGAATGTGAGTTGTGACTGTCTTTGACGAGCTTGTGTCATTGAGCAGCATTTATACGTAGTCCTTCGCACTTGTCCGTAACCAGGTGCATTTGAGCTGCCTGCATTTCGCATGAGGAGACCTCAGGACATTTTCGGCCTAGCGATGCCATCGCTACCGTTTGCTTTTGAGTTCTCCTTCGTCTGGTCAGGTTCGCTGCCGCTCACTCCGATTTTCATGCGTCGCTCTAGCTCCGTCGGCTCTCAGGTCCCAATTGCCGCCCGCCACCCTTGACCAGCTGCCGCCCCTGTCACTCTGAGTGACTCAGAGTGACATGGGCGGCAGCTGGTTGAGTCTGCAGTCCCATGCACGGACCGGTTCCAGCTGCCGCCGTAGCCAGTCCAAGCCTTTGCTGCCGATCGCCCTGACACCTCGCTCTCGGGCCGCCGGCCCGGCCCTGACAGCTCAGTCAGCACATTCCACCGCTACGGGTCCCAGCTGCCGCTCGCCTCCACCAGTACGGGCAGCTGCCGCTCTTCCGGCGTCCGTACGGTACTTAGCTGCCGCTCGCCCAGTCACTATACGGCTTTCAGTGGCTGCCATGCCAGCACGGGCAGCTGCCGCCCCCTACCGCTGCCGGCCTCCGCTACCGGTTGTCGCTCTGTCATTACGTCACGTAGCTGCCGGCTCTGTCAGACTGCTGCACATTCCACCGTTTCGGGCCCCAGCTGCCGCTCGCCCCTGTCAGTACGGCCCTCAGTTGCATGCCACCGGCCGTAACCCCCGGTCACCAGCCTACCGCTGCTGCATAATGCTTTACCCCTAGCTGTCCCTGCTCCCATCTGCCACCCCTTTTCACGCTGCTCCCCTCCGCTCCCAAATAGCTGCCGCTCGCTGCTGCCACTCCGCTCCTATAGAAGCTGCTCCTATATAGCTGCCGCCCATGCCGCTCCCTCTCCCCCGCTGCCACTCCCTCGCTCGCCCGTCCTCCCGCTGCCGCTCCCTCTCCCCGCTGCCACTCCCTCTTCCCCGCTGCTACTCCCTCGCTCCCCCGCTGCCGTTCGCCCGTCCGCTGCCGCTCGCCCGTCCGCCCGCTGCCGCTCCCTCGCTCCCTGCCGCTCGCCCGTCCGCCCGCTGCCGCTCCCTCGCTTCCCTGCTGCCGCTCGCCCGCCCGCCCGCTGCCGCTCCTAACTACCAGCTACGTCATTCACCGCGCTAACACCACTTCCTTCTCTGGCACCGCCCCTGCCGTGTTTCTTTGGCCCCTGCCTGCCCTGTCACCTCCGGTTTCACCGCCGTCCCTGCCTGCCGGCCGGGCGGGCGGACGGGCGGGCGGGCGGGCGGGCGGTATGCTTCGCTCCGCTCCGCCCGTACGCTGCGCCGGCGGGACGGGCGGGGCGGCGCGGACGGCGGCAGCGGCGGCGGCGGCGTCTCGCCCGGCCGCCAGTGCACCTGGCCGCCAGCTCGGTCCGAGCGGCAGACCGTCATGCGGCGCCGCCGATGACGCCGGCAGCGGCCGCCCGTGACGTCATCTGTATGGTACCGGCGGTGACGCCGGGCGGGTCGGAGTCGCACCGGCGTCTGACTGTACCGCGGAGAGATAGAGAGAGAGAGAGAGAGAGAGAGAGAGAGAGAGAGAGAGAGAGAGAGAGAGAGAGAGAGAGAGAGAGAGAGAGAGAGAGAGAGAGAGAGAGAGAGAGAGAGAGAGAGCTCTGAGGACAGAGCTGATGTCATGAAGTGGCTGACACCAATGGCTGAAGTGAAGGGAGTAGGATGTTTATCGAGAGAATGACCACCTTGCACGTAAATTGTTTTGACTTCGAACGGCGAAATAATGGCTGAATGAAAAGGCATAAAATATTGCGTTCAGTCATTCGCTCCATATGGAGAAAAAAAGTAACACGTAAATCAGCTTTTGGCTCTCGTCGGATCGGGCCAGCCTATCGGTTCGCTTCAAACGTCCCCTTCGATGAGCTAGGGGAATACGATAATCCCTCGCCGTTTCGCCCCAGATATAGAGCTAGGCATGCGCTGTTACGACTACGAGACGCAGCGACTGTTACCGGATCAAAGTATAAAAAGGTCAACCGGTGACCTTAGAGGTTGCAGATCAAATGCCTCGAGGTAGAAGCCAGGATTCTTGCGCAGAATAACTACGTCAAAAATTGTCGCTATATGAGTAGCGATTTTTTCATCTTGTTATTCGTGCTCGTCATGTCGAATGACGTTTTTTTTTTTGTCTGGGAAATTTATATTTGGCGTGGTGATCTCAGGTCACAGCCGCTCGGGTCACGAAGCTGGTCAAGATTAAGAAGGTCACATTGCATCGAGTTGGCAGGCTCTCTTGGGCCCATTCATGGTTTTTACTTTTTCCGGATCGCCGCACGTCCGGAGCTCACCATATATTTTCGCGATTGCGAGGAAAGCAATCGTTCCGAGCATTTGCGGAAAGAAACTGTCCGAAGGTGCCTCCCCGCTCCTCCGCCGGCTGGGGAGGGTTAACTATCCCCCATATCAATATCCATTGTCCGTATAATGCAGCCCTTTCAGCGCCGGTGTCGCGGCAGAGGACACTCTGACCTTGGTAGAGTCGCGTCACGGCGGGCCCGGCAGAGCGACTGCCGGCTCATGGCGGCACGAAAAAAGCCCGGACGTCCACCGTCGTCTCGGTTGGCGCAGACGTTTTTGTTAATTCGTTCTTGTGGTCGAGTTTGTCATAGAGTGATCGATAGGTGGCTATAGTGCGGACTTGCGAATCTGCACGCATCAGGATTGAGTGAGAACATATACCTAGCCGTGCGCTATATAAATTTCTTGGATGCTGGGCTGCATTACAGAAAGCTTAGTGGCGGATGCTTTCGCGCGCCTTTATCAGCGCTTAATTAAAGACTTACATAGACCCTTGATTGCCTATATTTAGTCGATGATATCAGCTATACGCCAGCATTACTATGTATCAGCGGGATTACCGTTACACCTATAAAGATTTGGACGGGCCTTGCACGGACCTATAGCAATACCCACGGTGACTATAAATAGCAATACCTACGTGTACCTAGTTAATTGATAATCAGATAAGTACCTTGCTTAGCAGATATAGGAGTAAAGGCATGACGCATCTTAAATGCACCAACGCAAAATCGACTCAATCATTTTATCGATGTATTAAATTTCATAAAATCATTAACATAAATTTAAATATCTGAATACAATTAGGGGAGAGTGGGGAAAGATGCCCAGGGTTTTGCTTTGTCATATATTATTCGAAAATGACGATCGGAAAGCAAAAACTTGGAGTTTCAACGGAAGCCGACATCATTTTTCTCCAAAAATATCACACTTACGTGCCTGAAATATGATAACTTTTTTGCTATTAAGCATTTTCCTGAAGAAGTGAAAGGGGGCATCTTACCCCACAGGGTGGGGAAGACGCCCTCTGAGGTTGGGGAACATGCCCCCCTGCACTATAAGTGACATAAATGGGCACGTGAATCGCCTGAACGAATCAGTTGTCCCTTCGAGCCTGCAGAAGACACCAAGCGTCATCGTAGGGCCCTCAAAAGTAGTCGTAAGGGGCTTCAAAGGTCATCGTTGGGGCCATCATAGTCCAGCGCGGCCAAACAAGCCTCCGTGGTGGCGTTCGGAGACCAATGTGGGGCCTTTATAGGTCTTCATGATGCTTGAGGGCCCTCGAGCCCATCGTGGGGACCTCAGATGCCAGCGCGGCCCGTGGAGCCAACGTGGGAGCCCTCAAAGGATGTCGTGAGGGGCCCTGGAGCCAATAATGGGGCCCACAGAGGCCGTCGTGAGGACTCTCAGAGCCAGGTGCCGCCCAAAAAGTCGCTGTGTGGGCCGAGAGACCGGCATGGGGAGCACCCGACCGTACTGGACTCTCAATAGTCCCAG